AGTGGATGAGCAAGCATGATGGATGAGAGCAAAGCCACAGCACGAGCCGCGGCCCGAGAGAGCATGAAGGAAGAGACATGTGGGGCGCAGTAGCGATGCAACAGGGGATGCGCATGCCGGAAATGAGATAGCGGCTACGCGGGTCGTGGTAGAGGATGGACCATGGACTACGTACGGGACGGAGCACACACGGAGCGCGATGGCACCTAGCCAAGGGCGTGGCTCAGCGTGCTCGACGCCTGCACCGGTACCGGCTCAACGGCCACGTCATAGACGGCGGTGCTCGCCACCGCCGCGGACGCAGGAAGAGTCGAGGCCTCCACGTTGCACGCAAATGGCGACGGCACTGAAGGTGGCGCGGGCGATGATGGGGATGGCGATGGAGCTGACGCGCCTGCGAGGCTCATCATGCATCCTGCGCTGGAGGCCATCAGACACTGCAAGAAGGTAGTGTGCAACGCACACCCAGGTGCGCTCTGCGCCGCGCCCGAAACCCCGGCCGACACAGCGAGGGCGATGAAATTCTCGTTCATCATCGACGTGCCTGCGTCTGGAGGCGCCGCGAGGCCGTGTGCCGATAGTGAAGGGTTGAGTGAAGGGTCGAGCCACGACTGCGTTTGGGACGGCGACGAATACGAGATGCTCGGCGAGCCCGCACCCATGCCATAGGATGACATCAGCGTTCCCTGGGTGCTGTACGTGCCCTGCTGCGTGCAACAGAATGCTCCAACAGCCTGAGAGTCCATGTACGATAGGTCACCTGTCGAAGGTGCCCTTGGTATGAACGGGGACGCGGGCATGAACGCCGTGAACCATTCCTCCTGAGTGTATTGGACCTGGACGGCTGGTCGCGGGATATTTGCCCACTCGAGACGACGTTGTTTGTCCACAGGGGTGCCTCGACCCATAAAAGTCCTGCCGTCTGGAGTAAGGAGTGGGGATGAGTCTAGGTATGGGACGCGGATGGATCCTAGACGAGGCAATTGAAACGAGACTACGGGTGCCGTTGGTGTCGAAGGGATTGATGATGCACCTGACGCGTTTGATGCCATGACGCTCTGGACGTGAGACGTATCATCAGTGGCGTCTACCTGCTTATCCTGTTGTCCGTCAATAAAGAGTGTTGTGGCCACGACGGATGTATCGACGCTCATCACCTCAAAGCCATCCGTCGCGTTATCTTCCACGTCCATGAGGTCCTCGTCGTCATCTTCGTCGTCTTCATCCCAGAGATCGTCATCGTCAAAGTCCATCTCTATGTCGATCAAGCTCTCGTCGAAAGCTTCGGAATCACTTTCGCGCTCCGAATAGCTCGCAGGAGTATACAGACGGAACTCGGTCGGAGGCGCACAGCGCTCGGCGTCAGCGGCAACAGTCTTGGCGATGACATCCCGACCATAGCGGCGGTACCTGTGCGGAAGGTAGTTAGGCACGACCTACTCCAGGAGACGAACGGCGTACAGGTAGCTAACGCGTTCTTGCATTGCAATCTTCCATATGTTCGCATCGCATGTTTCGGCTTTGAGTGTACGTGCAGGGGCAGGAACGGGTTGAGGTGGCGGTGTCGGCAAAGGCACCTGAGACGTGGAAGCAACTGACGCCTGCTGCACATTGGTTCTTGACGATGATGCGATCGCAGGTAACGTCTCGTTCTCAATGAATGATGGTACAGCCGGGACCGTGGGCAGCTTGATCTCTGCTGACGCAGACTCTGGTCGAGATGCCTCGGGGCATACGTTCTGGCTCTCACAGAGCCGTCTGTCCCTGCGGCAGCTACTAATCAGTGACTAATGGTGTAGAGGGTAAGGATGTGACATACTCGAAGGGGAGTGAAGGGAAAGAAGGTTCTCCCGCGAGGGGCAACGTAACATCGAGATCCCTGCAGGAAGATGAGGCATGTTCAAGCTCTGACAGCGAAGACACTCACGATCCGCCTGTTTCAGTGGCCATGCCATCGGAGCCGACATGTTGGTCCAGCTGGCAGAGAATCAGTCAGGAGGATCTGGTGCGGTCATCGGCGCGTTGTGCTCACCTCTTCCCGTCCTCCGTCCGGCATCGAAGCACGCTCCGTGACGCCGGAGCCGCTGGGCGAAAGCTTCCGAGACGCCTCCTTCCTAAAACGGGCGTCCTTCTGTGCGGCTCGAGCGACGTCCGCGGCGAGGGCGGAGTCGCTGGCGACTCCGCCATCGGTGCCCTCGGCAGCGGCGAGATTGTCATCGCTCAAACGAGGGATGTTTGTTGATTGGTCAGCAGCGACGATAGGAGAGGCGAGGGTGTGGCCAAGGCCGTCGGAGAGGGAGAGTCGCTGCCGCTTGAGGGCCCGGAGTGCCCTTGGGGTGCGGAAAAGCTCATCCAGATCGGGGGCCAGGGGGAGGGGGCCAGCGGTGGCATGATCAGGGAGATCGGGTCCACGGCGACGCTTGCGTGGCACATCCAATTTTGGGCGTGGAACAAACTTCGTCTCAAAACCCGCTAGCCTTGCGTGAGGACGTGTCCCGGATTGGGTCAATTTGACTCCAGGCTGGCGGGCTCGGTTAGTGATGAGGCTGCGGGTAGCCTTGCTCGGACGACCGGTCGCTTTACGGCTTCGACTTCTGCTTGTACCATGGGAACTGGAACTGTCTACTTTGCTCCTGCTGCTGCGACGACGACGGCTCCCGCCTGCAGCGCTGGGCCCCGAAGGGCTACTATTACGAACAAGAAGGCGGACAGATCGTCTCAAGGCGATCTGATGGCCGTCGACGCTGTGCGACACAGGCATATCAACAAGACGTGTTGGCGTGGCCATGACGGGGCCGCGCGATGGAAGCACAACAATAAGCGGCTCGTTGAGCGGCACAGCAGTTGATGACGGCTGGCTAGCGGCTATCGACACACGACGACAATGCATTGCGATGAGTGCCACTACAAGAAGAGAAGACGGGGAGATGGTTACATTCGCAAAACGGGCGACGCCGCTGTCGTGGGCGTGGCAGATGGGCTGAAATGAAGGCTGAATTGAAGGAGAGCCGAGCTGAGGTGGACGCGGGGGAATTAGACTGACACCAAATGCAGATCGGATATCGATGATGGAGGATCGGGTATCCGAGAACGGGGCACTCGAAATACGCTGAGCTGGGGACGAGAACAACCACCGCCCCCTCCGCCACGCGTACGTAACCGCCACGGACAAACATGTCCAAGCATTCTGCCGATATGCCGAGACCATGTGACCTCCCATCTCAGGTCAAACAACCTACCGAGGCTCCTGCGGCCTGGCATCCGTTATGCAGCATTTCATATGGAAGCTCGAGGACTTGCAAATTCAGTCTTTTACAAACCGCATAATTCCCTGCGCGTCGTGCGATGACAATTCATTCATCTTTATCGGCAAAAGGCGGGAGACGGCACCCTTTCCCTTCTGAGATTTCCACCCCGACTTCTCGCCTCTGCCGCTCGTTTGCGGAATGGCGACTCTCACGTGCGCTTGGCTTCGCGTTCCTCGCTGGCCTCGTGCTGCTGGATTCCTTGTCTGCTCCTGTGCGGAAAGCTCAAAGGCGATTCTTGTCTTCCCGCGCAGCGATATTATGCCTCTTCATTTATCGTCTCTGCTGCGCCTAGGCTTCCGCGGAGATGGTGGTGAGCTTCTCGATCACACGCATATTGCTGGTAGAATACCTTTTCCGAGAGTTCTCCTTGCCGTCGCTATGGCAGGCGCATATAGGGACCCATGGTGTCGACCTCCCTGGAAACGCCTTTCTTTTCGGTTCTTCTACTGAAAGAAAGACATCATAAGTCTGGACTGGTGAAGGGATACTGCACGCATATTGCCCCCCTCACAATGACAGGCGCAGCACCTGTCGTTTCTGGATCAACCAAGTATTCCGACGCTGGCTTCGCAATCTCAAACATGGATGATATCCCTGCTCCCTTTCAAGTTGACTCACGTCGCGACTCTATGGGTCCAAATGGATTTCCGCTTGCGAATCGCGCTGAACAGTGAACATAACTTAAAGCAATAAATGGGATCCGGAGAAGCAGAAGAGCCCATGACATGAAACCCGAATTGCGGGGCTGACAGAGAATCCCGTAGACAGCGCTTTGTTTTGCACGCGTCAGGACCGCACAGCCGGTGCGTATCCATGTATGTACGCATTTTCGCTCAGGAATGTACATAGAGTCGGTCCGTCCATTCCAATTCTGATGCGATTGCGATTGGGGCTCGGTCCGGTTGCTGTGAAGTTCGCCCAGCGGTAGATGAATAAATCATAACGAATCTCGGCGCGCATACAGTTGGCGTTGTCTGTTCTCTTCGGATCACAGAGGTGTTCTTTCTGTGCAGCAGCGTATGTCACGTTGCGGACGCGAGTGTCTGCTTCGCACCGGGGATCTTTGGCAATTCACACCCTTGAACCCGGTGGCAGTGAGGGGTCAGTGCATGTGCATGTGCATGTGTATGGCCAATGGGAGTTCGTCGACTTCGACTCGAGCAATCGATCTGCTTGACGGTGCAGTCGCTTCGTTTCGATCGAGTCTGGCTTTGTGCGAATGAGACATTCTTTGTTCAGCTCGAGAACCTCGATGTGTATACCACGATCGACCAATCTTGTGGTCTCCAATGACGAGGTTCAGCCCGAAGCTCGAAGCCTGCATAGCAAGGTGTGAGCGGAGACAGGAACTATGTTGACCGATCGACATCCTTCACAGTAGACGGCGGTTTCTCGCGGTCACAGGTCCACGATCCTTCTGTCGTCGTTGTGCCGGCCAAGGGTGGTACGATGCATACCGGTCAGCAGGGGTGGTCCGACAAGGGAGAACGAGGCTACACCGTCGTTGTCATCTGCTATCCCTCTTCTGACAGAGTCTTTCGGGTTTCACTGCTGCAGTCCCGGGGTTCACGGTGCCGCTGTCATAAGATCCCACACGGATGGAAAAAAGAATGGCAGATAACGGAACATAGTAGCCTCATAAACGGCCGGTGGGAGGGGAAACTAAAGCTATAAAAAGAATGAAGAACGTCACGGCCCCGAGTAAATCGTCTCAGGTTGTGCACGGGCCTTACCCGGGGGTGTCTCCGTAGCAGCAGCAAGGTTCCTGCATATGCTGCAAAAATGTGCCTGAAGAAACGAACAAGGGGTGAGAAAGACTGTTCTGAGAGAACTGCTTGCCGGTTTATGCCACCTCCAGTACCAACAGATGCGATATAACGGTCCGGGGCTCAAAAATCTTAATTCCCTTTCGGCAAGATACGTTACTTGGGATCCTATGAGCACATGGTATGGTATTTCAGATTCGAGTTTATGATAGGTGGCACAACCATGATCATGCCACAACAAAATGGAGCTGCTTACCGCTCATCCACGTCTCTCGGAGAATGTGCCTCGTGGCCATGTGTTTTGTACGAGAGCCTATGTGGTCCAAGCCGGCCGGCAACGTTTCAAATTACATCTGTTGATCAAACATTCACTGCTGCTCTTTGCCGCAGTCCGATCATAATTGGACGGTGTCAACTCTCCCGTACATAATGTTGCCCGGGCACCCGAGTCAAGTAGTCTGGAGTGCAAGAACAATCCATGTCGAAAATTCTTCAAAGAGAAGATAGTACGTCTGTTGATCTGATACGAGCGGCCGTCTCCGCTTATGCATGTTTCAGGTCATGCAACGTAAGACTCGAGCACCGAAATCCTCGACCACACGCCGGGCTGGTGAGATGCATGCGAACCTTCCACCGGCTACAATTTGAACTTCGACTGCCTGCGGAAGATGGGTTTCATGCATCTGTCGCAGGCTGACACGTTCAATATCGGCCACGTGTGTCGAGGCATTCACGTCGATGCTTGGGATGCTTTGTACTGCCGCATCCGCGGACCAATAGGCCTGCGGCGGTCGCGGCGCGACGTTGAGGCATCCTCCAAGCGAGCACGCTCCGTCCGCTCCCTGCGTATCCAGACCGGCCAAGAGGAGCTCCTTAAAACTGTAAGTTGTGGACTCAACTTCTCACAGAGTCAGCGAAACTCGAGGGGCTGGAGATCATGGATAGCAAGCTTCCCGGTGCCTCGCCAGAGGAAATGGTCGCAGGAATTGTACGGGCTTGCCATTGATGCAGGCGTCCGAGTCACCTTTACCGACCAGATATGCATCAATGTGCCAGTAGCGGACTAGTGAAGCGCCACCGTGCATTCGACCATCCGTAAGTGTTCTCCTCAGTTAATCGGTCACTTGCACTCACATCTATTTGCACACAGACATGCTCGCTCCAATCTACTCCAACACGCTGCCGTGCTCGAATCATTTGCACTCGGCTCCTGTGAGAGCACCATCATACGCTCTCGAGTCTCCAGTTTGCAACGTATGGCGACCGACGGCTGCGCTCCCCAGCCCAAAGCGCACGGCCGGAGCACTATCGAGATTAGCTCGCGACGACGAGGTGCGCACCGTACCTTGCTCGCTTTCCGATGACCGCTCTCACCTTCACGCCGCTCCCCCACAGGACCGAGGACACACCCTCTGGACTCGTGCGGTCACTGGACGCGCCCGTGCTGGACCTTATGCATCGCATGTCCGCATTTGAGCCGTGTCAACGGATATCTTCAGCATGTTTCTGTCAGAACGGCCGTGAGCTTTCATCATATGTATCGAGCACTGGGTCCCCTCTAGCACGCCACACAGACACGAATGCACCGGCACTTCAAGGCTTCTTCTGCTGGCACTTCCAGCCCCACCGTCCTTTCGATCACCACCTTCGCTCACCTAAAGCATGTGGCAGCCCTTGCGGGTGGTCAATGTACCATCACCAGGCACGCGCCGCACCTATGTCTGTGCGAATATCGCTGACACGATCAGATCGATTCTCGGAAAAGGGAATTCGACCTTTTTCGGATCAGATACGACGGTCGACTTTGCGAGACGCACCTTGTCTGGACGTGTACATGCAGTTTTGACAGACTGTCCTCATCAGAACAGGCATGGACCCGTTCCAAAAAGCGCACGACCACTGCCAGGACGATGGACTCATTCGGACATGGTATATCCCATACGAGCAAATTCCATGTCGCGAAGCGAATCGCATGGACGTACCTTCTATGAGTCACCATCCGAACGCCCCTCGCTCGTCGTCAATGCCGTTCCCCGAGCAGACGCGCATCACAGATCTGCCTTGTTGAATTGCGCGCGCTGAAGCTCTGCCCGAGCTCTTGCGCAGACACCAAGCTCGCGGACCACCCTCGCATGATCAGCTTCGCACAACGCTCGCTCGCTGCTCACTTCTGTAGAAATAACCATAGGACCAGTCCGAGCTCGCGGCCTCGCCGCACATCAGCGGTGACAGGCGGCCAGGCCTTCTGGATAGATGAAGAGATATATTAACAGAATCGAGAGGAGGCTGAGGGATACAACGGAGCGGACATGATGGAATTAGTAGACAGAATTGGGTTGTACGAATCGACGAGTGCTGCATGTCACCCATGCACGGGTGGTAGAGCTTCGAGCGGTCGAGCGGTCGCGAGAGTGCCAGTCACCACATGCCCGCAACAGGACGACACTCAGCGCCGTTGAGCTAGTCGACCGCCCGATGCGGAACGCTTATGGCCAGTGAAACTTGAGAATAATACTCACCAGCAAGATGCACTCTCCACCGAATAATAATATCGCTCACCGTCCTGCTCGCTACTAACTGAATCGGTGATCATTTATGTGAGCACGGTGAGATGGCGGGATTGCGATGGGGCCGCTATCATAATTGGGCTTGCCGGCGGAGTCGTGCATTGGACTTGAGCGAGTGCATCGGGTTATGTACAGACAGGAAACGATGGGTGTAGGACCAGTTGCGCGAGGACCGAGGAGACGAGACGAGTGACGCGCCACAGTGCACGGGCATGCCTGACTTCAGCCACAACACCAACTCACAACGCCACATTCTCTCCTTGCCTCGTATAAAACACTGCCGTCGCAAAGTCAACTTGATCTACAATGTCACGTCAGGAAGGTGGTGCAAAAACATCTTCACTCGAAGAATTGAGTACGACACTGTCCTCCAAGCTCGAACAAAGTGACGCTCGCCAACGGTGCGTCCTTGCTCGCCCTGACCGTATCATTATACAATACTGATCACGACCTCCTTGCGTGCAGCATACTTCGTGTCAGTAACGTTATCTTCCAATTCATCTCAATAGACTGATATAACGGCATATAGCTCAAGGATCTTCAGGGACTTGTAATGAAGGCAGCCGAGACTACAGTTCAAGCTATGCGGCACGAGCTGAATGCTCACGTCGCGATCACCCGTCTTCCTGCCGAAGTGCTCCAGGAGATATTCGTGACAACCTGCACTGTCGAGCTAGCTGAATACAGATCTCTACACTATCAATGCAACGTCATAACGACCGTATGGAACCCAACTTGGATTGACAAGGGCAGAGCAGTCAGTCTCATGCTTGTCTGCTATCGTTGGAAAGAGATCGCCTTGGGGATCCAGGAGCTCTGGAATGGCATCGAAACATATTGGGAACATGAAGATCATATCTTGCTGGAGAGGTCCGGCCGAGGCCCGCTCAAGGTGCTGGCTTGCGAGGAATTGGAACCCTCTTATGCTGTTGCGCATGCTCTCCAAAATGTGGTGCATTCATCCAGAATCCAGGAGTTGTACTGGATACGGCCCTTCGAACGTGAGGGCGGAGAATATATGGGAATGCCTGCGCCTTCGTTGAGGTCTCTTGCATTACAAGATGACGAAAGTCATACGCCAGATGGGACATTCGAACTCTTCGACAACCACACCCCGTGTCTGGAGCGCCTGTCACTGTCAACTTTGTGTTGGCTGCCCAGCAATGCATTCACCAAACTGACATTCTTGGCTCTCGACAATTGCATGGTACCTAAAACTCCCATCAAATTACGCAGCTTGCTTGCTGGAACACCAAACCTAGTCGATCTCATCCTGCAAGATGTGGCTGACAATCGCTATGGGCATGTCCGAGTGAAAACTGAGCCTGCGGACATGAAGCCTGTGTTGCTTGCTCGGTTGCGACGGTTGCTGATTGGTCATATGTGGGCTGATGACATCGATTATGTCTTCCGGGACGCTCAGCTGAATGAAGACGTGTCCGTCTCGATCACGCATATGCTGAGCAAGCATGATAGTGAGCATCAAGTATTGGAATTGGTATCCCGTTGGTCATTGAATGCCGTGAAACAACCCAAAGAACTGCATTTCCAGCGAAACGTCGCCATCGTCGCTGGAGCCTCTTCTGGTCTCCGTTTCCAGGTCGACAAAAGCATGACCCCCGAGGATTGGACCGCATTCAACGGGTTACGGATGCTATCCCTTTCCAACATATCTCACCTCAGGCTGTGCACGTTGGAGTGGGACACATGTGGGGTGCCCAGTCTTGAATGTGTCCGCGACCTTCTTAATAGGCCGATGACCGCACTTGAGACACTGTCCGTCAATGTTGAGGTCCTGGCGAAGGTCGTCGATGCACTCACACTCTTCCGAGACCCGATCGACCTGCCTCTCTGTCCCACACTGATGACGCTACGTATCGTCATCCGAAAAGATAGTGATTGTGACATCATCCTGGACTCGATTCTCCCGCATCGTGCGCAGCTTGCCATCAAGCACCTTTATGTTGGGTTGATCGATCCTCAAAGTGAACGCTGGAGACCTCGTCAAGCTGTGAAGGACCAGCTGCATGGCATCTTCGAGTCGGTGAATTTTGAGACGCTGTTGTATGATAAGGCGTACAACATCACTTTGCCGCTGATTTGCGATGAGGAGGCACATGCTTTTTGGCTGCCCTGGCTTTAGGTGCTGTGTGGAAGAGAGATGACATGGATTGCAGTGAGGCCAAAGGTACGCTCGCGTCAGGGTCACCTCTCGTCTCGGTCGCTCATCGCTCGTTACCAGTTATCCTGATGCTCACGGAGCGGGCATGTATTAGAGAGGAAGAAATATGTATTTTATGCTGCAGTAGATGTCAGCCCTTGTGAATGCAAATGCTGTCCATACATAATGCCGCCCGTAGCATCCTTGGCTGAGATGCCATCAGCCTCGCGATGTCCGAACCAACCATGCAGGTCACTGACGTGCCAGACTTGTCCAAGCTGGAGCCGAGGAAGTTCTGGAGGGTGTACCCATCATCCATGCACTGCGCAAAGTGAGTGGCGGCAGCTCACCGGTGAAGGTTGAGCTCTCTTTGAGCCAGGCGAACTCGGCGTTCTGCTACTGCACCTGCTGTCTGTTCGTGAGAAAGAAGCCTCAAGTGCACGGCAGGCACACCAGTGAAGTCGGCTCGCGATGACGATGTGCGCGCCGTACTATTTGCACGCTTTTCGATGACCGTTTTCGTTTTAACACCACTACTCACAGGACCGAGCCCACACCTTCTCGGCTCATGCATCACTAGACGTACCCATGCTAAACCGTACGCATCGCATGTCCACTTTTGAGCATTACGAACTTT